TTTTATAATATGTGCACTTTATAATATGCAATAATATTAATTTGTTTTTTAAGATTTTCTAGTTATTTAATATCCAAATTTGAGATATCATTCATGTTGTTAATAGTGGTTGGTGTCATTTCGTTGAGCCTAAATTTTTTTCGGGTAAATCCTTTCTCTTATTTATAAATCCATTTAAATTATATTTCTTTTATTTTTTTCCTGATTTTTCTTAGTAATATAATTATATTTTAAAATAAATTACTTTGATATCTTACAATTAGATAAAAAATTCAATAATGAGCTTAAAGCAAAATTATACAAAAAGATTTAAATTTGAATATTTTCGAGATATTCAGTAACGAAATTTATAAATTATCTATTGTTGTTTTCGTCTTTAAGAAGTTGTTAGGTAGTCTCACAATTCATTTAAAAATAAAATTCTCATTAAATTTATCAAAAAATTTCTTATTATAAAACGCAAAAATAAATTCTATATATACATATAAAAGTTTTATATATACATATAAAAATATTCGTAATATATTATCATAGTAATAAGGCAAATTGTAATAAAAATTTATGTTTCGCACATTGCATTTACATTATACATCAAAAAACTTTCCTAATAATAAACAAAATAATTTCTAATAAAATATATTAGATTTTTCAGATTATATTATCCGGATACAACACTGGAGAATTTTTTATATGTTTTGTATTTGCATTTATGTGTATTTTCTACATGTTTGCAGCCAACTTAGTTGGACAACAAATTATAGATCACAATAATCACGTATTCATTACGGCGTAAGTAAATAATACACTTATTCTGTATCATATCTTATAAATTATTATAAATTTATAAATTTATAAATTTAGCTAATAACACAAAAATAAAAAATAATGTAATAAATATTAAGATTAAGCACAGCAAATATATAGGATAACATGAAAACTGCACATAAAGATTTTTATTTTTGTTAAATTATTTACGTTGTTATTATATTTAGATACAAAATTCGATGGTACATAGCTCCCTTAAATGTACAAAAAATGATACTGCTCCTGCTGCAAAGAGGTAATAAGAGTTTTGGTCTGTCTGTGGGTGGATTATTTATAGCTTCTTTAGAATGTTTTGCTACGGTACATATTATTTCATATAGCATAAAAATTAAAGATTTATTGTTTTCTTGGTAAATCAAAATAAAAACAAATATAATTATTACAGTTGGCAAGTGCATCGGTGTCCTATTTTACTGTTATGTTTTCAATGCAACAATAACAATGTAATATCAATTAATATTCTGATGAAAAACAATAGGGTGAAAAAAAATTCGAGATACAATATACTTTATATAATGACGTGCACAATGTTTATATATAGCGTAATGTCCGAAAGTAAAAGAATTAAAATATTATATGATAATATAATTTAAAAAAATGAAACGTTTATATATATTTATATATTAATTTGCATTTAAATTATGTAATAAAATAAATTAACTAGGACTATTCTGTATATAATATTGTGAGTTAATAATCTTTAACACTTTTGTACATAAACTATGAGGTTTGTATCTGCATTTTTCATAGTATATGTATAATATGTGCAATAACATCTTTATATGTTTTTTAAGATTCTCTATCTATTTAATATCCAGATTTGAGATACCATTTATTTTTAATAATGTTTGGAGTTAGCTCTTTGAGCTTAAATATTTTTCGAGTAAGTTCCCTTTCCTATTTATAAATCCACATTTAGTAAATCATATTTTTGTATGTTTTTTACTCTAATAATTTAATTATGTTTCTATTAATAACTTTGACATATTTTTCATTTAGATTCCGAATCTCACTAATAATTTTATAGCAATATTATTCAAATTAAAATTTCAATATTATAAAGATACTAAGTAACTGAATTTATAAATTATGTGTTTGTATTTAAATTCTTAACTTAATCGAGTAAAAAATAATTATAAGAGAAAATAAAATTATTATTGTTTATCTTTTTATTATTTTCCAAGCATTAACTTCATAAAATTGTTTAGCAGTCTTATATTTTATTTGAAGTAAAAATTATATTCAAATTTATCAAAGAATCTCTTATATATAATATGATACAAAGATAATAAGGAATTATATAGATAAAAATAATAAAAATTTATAATTTTTGATTAATACTGTTTATAGTTTAATACGTTTATAGTTTAATACGTTACGTTATAATAAATATAAGGATTTATGTTTATCCTATATATTTAATAGTATTATATTATATTTCATAAGAATATTTCTAATAACAAATTCGTGTATTAGATTTTCCAGATCGTATTACTCGGATATAACACTGGAGAATTTCTTGTTGATCTTGATTTGTCTTGTTATTATATTTATATGTATTTTTTACATGTTCATAGCCAACTTAATCGGACAACAAATTATTGATCATAATAATCACGTATTTGTCACGGCGTAAGTAATATACTTACTTTGTATCATATCTATTTATAAATTTTAAAGTTAATAATACAAAAATAAAAAATAATTAAATAATAAATATTAACATTTTGTAGAAAAAATATGTATACAATGTAAGAATTACACATAAAGATTTCTTTTTTCCTAAATTACTTGCGTTGCTATTACATTTAGATACAAAGTTCGATGGTACATAACTCCCTTAAATATACAGGAAATGATATTGTTTTTGTTGCAAAGAGGCAATAAGAGTTTTGGTCTGTCTGTCGGTGGATTGTTTGTAGCGTCTTTAGAATGTTTTGCTACGGTATATATTATTTTATCATTATATCATGATAAATTAAAGATATATTTTTTTTCAGTACATTAAAATAGAAACAAATATAATTTATTACAGCTGACAAATGCATCAGTATCTTATTTTACTGTTACGTATTCAATGCAATAATAATATAATAATATGATATATCAATTAATATAGATTAATGGAAACAACGAGAAATCCAGCGTATAATATACCTCATATATAAAATAATAAATAAAGCGTCCTTCATTTTATGTATTAAAATATTTGTAAATGGATATTTAAAAAGAATAATTTACAAATACTGTGTAAAAAGAAAAAACTAAGCATGAATTTGCGTATTTATCTATGAATCTAAAATTTCATTAGTGTTTATTTTTATTAATATTATTATAACATTTCGGAGCATTAATTTAATATTTTAAATATTTAAATATTTATTATTTCTTTTTACTTTATTACTTGTTATTAATTATTCTGTTTCCTATTATTTTTTAAAAATTATTTTGTTATTTTAATTTGTGTCATTATAATTTTTAATGTAATATTTATTTAGATCTATAATTATTCTATAATGTAATTTAGATCTATATACTTTTATATTTATAAACATTATTTAATTTAGATTCTTCTTAGAATAGAATAATTAACGAAATTAGAAATATATATAAAATGTATTGTTTTAATTGTACCGGACAAATATCTCAAAAATACAAAATATGGAAAATACAAAAAAATTATATATCCTTTTTCCGTAACCCGATAACTTTTATCTGAAACTTATCTTAAATAAGACATCCTGAAATGGGGCATCCTATATATAATATACGTAACGCTTAATGTATATTTTTACAGTTAAATATCATATTATATTATTGTATATTGTGTACTAGTGTATACATGTATGTTAAATGGAGAATAAAACATATTCTCAAAGAATTTTTATTTCAGCAAACCACATGTCAGATGCGAATACACATATTGAAATGAAACATATGGATAAGTGACATTAAAAAATGGAGAGTATAATTACGCAACTTTCACTTCATATCTTTTTCCAATGGACAATGTTGTATGAAAAGGAAACATCTGTTGAATTTCTTCATTTGATATATCAATTATTTAATCGATCACTAAACTTCTCAAAAAATTTTAATATGCGATTATTTGTTCTCCTATTGTATTTCATATAGATGCAGTTAGGCTAAATTATAAAAGTAAAATTAAAGAGCGTTAAAATTTTTACTAAAAAATAGAAAATAGATATTATCTAATCTATACTAATATAAAGAGACAATGTTTGTTTGAACAAAAATCTCGAAAACTATAAAACCAATCGTAATCAAATTTTAAGATCAAATTTTATTTGTATGCCCTGGAGTGACATAGGCTATATTTTGTAAAAAAATAACTTACAAATTATTATTATTATTATTATTTTATTGCGGGCGAAGTCGCGGAAGAAGTCGATTAATAAAGTATGATAATAATGAAGTGATTTCTTTAAAATCTCAATATTTCTTCGAGTAAGTTTCGTTTATTATATAATTTCTAAATATTTAATATAAATATGACATTTATTAATATTATATTTTTTTAAATAAATCTCTGTTTACATTTTACACCAATAAATTTAATTAGCTATACTTCTAACTTTTCTTTTTTGTATATAAGTATCTGTATATGA